TTGTCGAAGAGGCATGCGTTCGAGAAAAAAATCGTGGATTCGCTTAAAGTGCGAACTTTCGAGGTTGCGTGGCATTAACGTACTCCGCTGTGAAAGACGATTAAAATATGGAACCTTCATCACAAACAGATGAATTAATAAGACATAATTTTTCGCGGCGACCTAGTTGTATTTTAACGACTATGTTAATGCAGCGAGGACAAAAGTTTTCTGCGATAGATTGTTACCACTTCGACTACGAGGGATAGTTTGTCGTTTCTCCTCACTTTATCCGCTTTAAACCAAATCGTTCTACACAAGGAAAATCTTTGGGTCGTTAAGTAATGAGTGTTACATCAATGAAAAGATCTATAGCTAATGGAAGTAGTAGAAGAAGAAAAACTTCTAAAATCTGAGAAGATCGAGATAAATTCACAGAAATCATTATTTATTAAATTTCAATGATAAATGTCACGTCTCTGCAGTAAAAAATATGATTTCCAAAGTTATGATATTGTATTATGTATAGAAAAAATATCAATCATCTCGTTTGAATAAATAAATATCGTATAAATATACATGTATATGCTTTTATCGAGGAGAAATATGGAAGAAATATTTCTGCGCAATCTCTTCTTTGAAACGATCGTGTTGATTTTTGAATTATTCTTCATGGTTTCTCCTCGGCATATATACGTCATCACGCCAAGGAGTATGTTTTGCGCACGTTGCATATATAAATACAGCGCATCGCGCGGAATGCTTGCTTCGTTATCAAAAGAATTCCTGTTCTTGGCCCAGGGTTCCAGAGGAACGGACGACCGGAATTAGATATCAGCGCCGTAAGACGGAGTCGGTCGCTGCTCAAGGCGGGGGTACCCTCGAAACCCTCCCGAAGATTTATACCACGAAAGCACAACGTCACGCGAGCGGCGAGGCCTAAGCCACGAAATGCGCGGCACATTTCCGGTGGCGCGATACGATGCAGCCAAGTGCCTATTTCATCAGACGACGACGACGACGACGGCGACGGCGGAGGCGTACTTGCTCGAGCGATACAAACGCGAGAAAAAACGGGCGAAGATACCGAGGGAGGAGGCGGTGTTACATAAATCACCGAAACGAGAGAGCTACCGGAGGCACGGGGGTTTTCGAATCGTAACAAAGTGGAAGATAGCCAGGCTCGAAGGCTAGGAGAATATGGCCACCCATTTTTCCTCGGCTTCGGCTGCTGAAAGCACATGTAACGGCGTAGGACAGTTTATGTCCGCGTGATTCTAGCCCCCTCTCCCCCCTTTACCCCGGCGATTCCTCACCCTCCTACACCTATAGCTCCTTCGCGCGTCGAAGATTTCGGCTTGTCACGCCTCTGGGGTCTTCGCACTCCCTTTCTTCGTATCCGTTTTTTCTTCCGCCGTCTCTCTCGTCCCCCCTCGTCGTCCCTCGTTCCACGTCCTCCCATCGCCTCTTACATCGAGCTGCCTGCCACCTCGTACGCCTCCTTTTCGTGCCAACTCTAAAGCGATACGAATGGCCATCGGCACCACATACACGAAAACGAAAAACTTTTTCGTTGCACGTACCACGGCATGTGCTCGTCCACTTTTCCGTCCGGGCCTTTATCGATCGTGTCTCTTTGTGCGTGGACGCGCTTTCTCGCGCCGTCCCGACTTCCTTCGTGCTTTTGTATTTTGTACACTGCCTGCACCTCCATTGTCTGTCCCCGAGTCGTTATACTTACGCGGACGTTGCCACTGTACACTGATCATGACTAAAACGTATATTAAAAGCTAAAAGAGAATGTGGTTTCATATGATAAGCCTCAACACTTCAAGTTAATATAAGCAACAATGCAGAATCGTGAAACAGCTGAATGGTTTACGCGTTGTTTAACCGAGCGCGAGTTTACAAAGAAACGAAACGTCGCGCGGAACTAATTGACTCGCGAAAAGCACTACCGCCCGGATGACAAACGTAATTACGTTTTCACATTTATTTACCACGTATATCCTACTTATCCGTCTGGCGGAATGGATATAACAATGACCTTAAAATGTTGCGGGGGCTGCCTTGTCGCGGAAACCCTCTCTAATAAAATATACGATGCAATTTCGTTACCGCCGAGAACCCGACTACATGTACTTTGAAATGCGGTACTTTAACGCTACGTTGTATAACATTGTATCATATTCCGCCGGAGTAGCACACGGCGAGGCAATATCTTATCTCGAGTCCCTTTGCCCCTCCAGGGGGCAGTCGCCGCGACCTCTCATAATGGAAATCTATCTTTCATCTGTAATTATAATCGTGCGTTGGCGTGCATGATGCATTTCGCGTTATCGCGGATCTCGGCGCGATAACACGCGTATATCGCGATAAGCATCAGTTACTGAACTCTATATCGCGGCTGAAACTAGATTTAAGGCTAGATGCTCGTGAAACACACCGCAAGTGTCTTCGCTCGAACACCCTCGCGCTTCGTGACACCGAAAAGATTTTATCGCGATGAGAGCTTCCAAAGTGATTACCAACGAGAACCGGGAATCCTCCAATTATACAATCGCAATTGATAGTTACGGCTGATACGTTCGCCGTCTTCGCGATACTAACTCTCTAATCGTATTAGGATTTCTCAGGTAAACTATTTTTATATTGTTTCGTAATATATACACGAAATATTTCATGCAATATAAAAAATTATATAATAAAAAATTTATGTATATTCCAATAAAATAATAAATCCATGTAATGATGTTACTTATGTGTTGAATAATGTGAGAGAAATAAAAGTTATAAAAGAAGTGTAATAAAGAAAAGAAATTTAACAAAAAATTTAAATTAATAGAATAAAAAATTATATATATTCCAATAAAATAATAAATCTATGTAATGATATCACTTGTATATATATAATTTTCACAATATTTATATAAAAATTAGTGGTCTACATTGAGTAATGTGAGAGAAATAGAAGTACAAAAGAAGTATAATAAAGAAAACGAGTTCAACAAAAATTTTAAATTAACAAAAAGAAACAGGATATTTGGTAGCCATTGGAACGTGGTGAGTAACATCGCAGACAACATGGCGGGCGAATCACGGTCCTGAAAAATTAACCGGTCCCGGGTGTCGTACCCCTTTTGCGAGTGGGAGCGGCGCCTTGCTCTAATACAGATTTATTGCCACCTAAGAGCCGGAGCCGAGCGTTCTAATACAGGTATTATGCTGACGCAGGCACGAGGAATTTACACGAAATTGGAGGTAATTTGTAGGGGTCGAGCGCGCAAACCCCTTCTACCGCCGCCGTCGCCGCCGCCGCCGTCGCCGTTGCCGTCGACCCCCTTTCGGCCACTACCACTCTATACCCCGCGCGTTACATCGTGCCGGACTTGTGTGCGCGGCTGTGTATCCCGCCGAAACTCTCCGGTAACGACTTGCTCGAAGGACGTAACTCTCCAGCAAGGGCTATCTACCTCGAAATATGCAGCCGCGTAGGCCGCTTTTTGATTTACGGAGTAGATCGTTAATTAAAACGTCACGGCTGATCGGTCTCGCGCGTACGGCGATTTAATTAAAATTTTTTAATTGCCAAGCGTGGCCTACGATAGACGAGCGATCTCACCGCGACGGTCTTCCAAAAAGTATCTTGCTCTCTCTTTTTTTTGTTATCATCGACGTTGTTTTTGGTGGCACCCTAACGAGGGTATCGAAACACGAAACCGGTTATTATCAGAGATCGTGTCATGTGGGCGCAAAGAGCCTACCGTAAATTGTCGCGTATCGTTGACGAGATCGATCCGTTCGGCACACAGCTCGACGCTTCTGCGGTCTATGTGTTCGGGATAGGAAACTCGTTGTTAATGATGGGAGTGTGAAGAGACTATACGTACTAATCGCGGATGATAATCCTCCAATTTAATCAAAACGATCGATCTTAATTTCTTCAGCTTCGTTACTGATTATAGATTATTATTTATGAATCGATTAGAATATTCATGACTATCCTGTGAGACGCATGACTATCTTTGTTTTACAACGTTTACTTTTCGTATTTCTCAAGAAATAGGTATATTATGAGTATAAAAATTTCATGAATTTTCATAAATCATAATTATTGATAAATAAATGAATGTGGTTAAAAGATTGTCATCATGAGCGAGAAGAATAATAACGATGCTCGTAAAATTAATTCGCCATTTACTGCGCGAACAAATCGAAAGATTTTCCACACCTCTACATTCTTTCGTTATCACCATTCGTTTCTTGATAACAAAGTTTTACAACCGTGCTTTTGAGGCCGCATGTTATTTAAAATTTTAATACACCTAAGGCGCGGAACGCAAACGCCGTAGTTAGTGATTTTAATCTCGGTGTTGTAATAAGAAATAAAGTGAACCATGTAGCAGGTTCGCTAATGCCATTGCGCGAGAGACATTCTTTCGTGTCACGCGATTTACATTGCGCGAGATTAAAAGAATTTCGATAATACGGCGTGATGCGAATGGCAATTACCTAATTTAATTTTAACATGAGACGCGTGACACATATATGTGTGTGCTACGTTATATTTTATCTTAAAATCTCTTTTGAGATAACCCATAATTTTTTAATTAATTAAAAAGTGCAAGAAAGAAAAATTATTTCACTTTTTAATTAAATGTTATAAGTTTTTGTTTCTTATATTTTTTAAACTAACCGCTTCAAATGTACATTCCAAATTTAATGGAAATATATCCAGCCATTTTTTATAACATGAAGAAATAAAAGGGTATGATAAAGTAAAATTGTATATGAGAAAACAGAAATACGAAATTATAAATTTCAATAATAGAATTTGCAATTATTATGAAAAATAAGTATTCGAATTTTCTATCGAGAAAATATGATAAGAGGATAATGGAAAACCGCTATGAGAATAAACGGACTCGATGATTACAAAAGCCGGATATTCGTTTCTCTGACAATATACCAAAATAGTCGACTTACTTGACGGCAGTTTCGTGATACGATTGTTCTCTTACCTGGCATGTTTCGGTCCAAGGCTGGGATCGTACATAGAACTCGCCGAGATGTCTTCATCAGGGATTTCTCCGCTCTCCATGCCCAACGCTGTAGTGCATTGTCCTGGAAACAATTCACGATGGCATTGGACAAAATGCAATATCAATCTTCATTTCGTTAACGTCGCGCATTAAAATGAAAATGAACAAGTTGAAAGGGACTTTGAGAGTTGATGGCGCGGTTGATGGCGCATAAGTTAACGTGATATCGATCTTTAATAACTATAGGATACATAATTATAAATCGGACATTTCGGCTGCGTTATCTTCAGCGATGCGGTAACAATTTAATCAAAATTAATCTTACTTTCTCCGACGAGAAATAAGTAACTTCAATGACGAGTAACTTTAAATAATAATTGCCTAAAAATAGTGTAATTTTCTGCGAGGAAATCTAAATAAAACTTATAGCTAACAATAATTTATTATATATGATCAAATCAATATGACAGTCATAATTTGAGCAAAAAGAGAACTAAAGTCATCTACCAGCTCAGAGAACGCGAGAATAAGCATTGAAGCCGTGTGGTAAGAAACACCAAGAAACAATACAATTTGTAAATAGAGAACGCCGTTACAATTGAGACAATGGTGCACTTAAAAAGACAGTCCTGATTCCAAATGATAACCGTCTCTGTCAAACGGTGACTGAGATCAGGAGGCAACAAACAACCAACTTTCATCATACAAGACTGAAACCATTAACTTAGGCACCGAGGCGTTGAACTCTCAAAGCCTCTTTTTACTTATAACTTATTAATTTCATTATCTAGAGTTCTTCCTTATTTATCAAATTATTAAAATAAAAACTTCGAGTAGAAGATGGGAGGTGACATAATAGATTATTCCCGCGAGGATTCAGCCTTAGCAAATCATATTATTGAATAGTTAATTCTACGTATTTGCATTTCCATTTGCCGTCAAAGATTCTCGACGATTTTATTTTGGCGTGCTTTCGTTTTCAACAATCTCGTCCGCCACTAACAGCACTATATCGCAGAGATGTGCAAATTCTGCAACGAAATCCTTGGAAACGCCGCGGCCGGTCGCCACAAACATGCGACTTCGTATTCCGCTGGGTACACACGAGAAGCAATTTACAATCGTGGCGAGTATGCTCGCGTCACCTCTATTTTCCGATTTCTTTTTTCTCCGGAAGTCAGCGGCTATTTTCACGATCACAAATAAAATGATATGTCCGAGTTATAATGTAATAATGTAGAATGTCTATTATACATACAGTTAATATGACATATTCGATACGACCATTTTTTTTTGTTTTGTCGTTACGAGACAAATGTTGGTAAAAAGCACATAAGAATAAAGTTTCATTCAAAACATCTTATTGGCATTTTGATTCGATGTAGACACGGGGATTCTTATTTCTATTTTCGTTTCGACATCCGTGAATCGGAAACGTCGGAGAGACGAGAGATATTCGTATAAAATAATGCATAAACACTGCCGATTATTCGCGCGAAATGACAATAAAACGGCGTTTTCCGATATCTTTTTTCGCCGTTTGTATGAAATGTCTGCGCGACGTCGCGTCACCGCGACCGAAAAATCGATTGCAGGAATATCAACTGGCAATGGCTACCGCCCGATGACAATGTCCGCGTATATATGTGGGACATGATAAATTTTCGAATCCGCGGGAGTCAGAGCCCGGTCCAGTATATAGCTTGTCGCGCGCGTGCGACGTCGCGCTACGCTTAAACTATACGGTACTGCAGTTACGGTGGAAAGTTTCAAAACTGCAGAATGCAGCGGACGTGGGATTAGCCTGGCCTCCGGAGCTACTACCGGGCCGGCTATGGTCTCCATGAGCCGGCATTACGGCGAACAAAACTTCGTTTGTGTTTGTAACTGTCCCCTACGTTTCACCTACCATCCATTATACCGGTGAAACCTGGTTCGACGTGTTGCGGTAGCGCGACTAAAATCTGCGTTCGATACGCTTCAAAGATGTCGAGCGCGTTTGTCTTTGTCTTTTGTAATTACATCGCAATCGATAATAAAAATCCACATTTTTATATCACGTATATCAATTTTAGTAGCTTTTAAGTAGAGTGTCAAGATTATTTCATGCAGTGTTATAGCTATCAAGAAGATTTTATCATTACAAGATTTTTGAACACTTTAAAGATATACAGAAGGCGTCATTAATGCCTTCCTAGCTGTGTTCTTGGGATTTCTATAGTGCACGTTACATGTTCTATGCTTCAGGTGGAAGGCATTAATGACGCCTTCTGTACGTCTGTTATAGACAAGTACAGTTAATAAGGAAGCATCAGAGTGTGAAGATCATCACTGTCCACTGAATCATCGAAGTCAAAGCGACTCGGACGCGGTACTGTACTAGAATGGGTGACCACCTTGAGAGCGGCTATACGCACATGGCATAACGAAACAGTTAGAAAAGTTTTTTTTTCTTAGATAAAGAAAAAGAACATTTTTTTATAAACGTTTATCAAGTAGACATTTTAACATTTCAATTTTATAAAAAACATTTCTAGAAACCGGTATGTCGTACAATAGACCTATTTTTGCCCGTCAATAAGACGTCAGAAAATGACGTCAATTGTCTGTGACATTAGACCGTCATTTTAACGTCATTATGCTGTCAGTTAGTGACGTCAGGAATGGTCAAAATGACTTGTGTTTGCTACCTGGGGAGGATTCTGAAAAGGCAGACGACAATTCATTCGAGCGAGCGAAATCAATGAACTAAAAATCCTGCCCAACTGGGAGAATCTGATAAACATTCAATCAAGTGAATGGCAGCTAAACAATTCGATATTTGTATTCAGTGTATCACATGATGCTTACAAATACAGAAAAGCGATATAAAAAATATAAATTCAATCATGTCAATTATGAACGAGAGTAAATTTGTTGTTGTAAAAACGCGCGGATGAAACGACGAGATTAAGAAGATAAATATTACAAAATTACATTTCGCAGATTGTGCTAAATATTCTTTCCGTTGAGATAGTTAATATATCGCGCGCAAAATGGTTGGCAATAGCATGTGATTCATTTAACGAGGCCAATTTAGCAGAAGTTCCTTCCATTGTGTTTGCTGTTTTATTAAAAATTTTACAAATGGAAGTTATGATTTTTACAGTGCGCTATCAACCGGCTTCTTCGCATTTTTTTGTCATAAAACTGGCGTGCTTGTCCTTTGTTATCAAGACTTTATTACATTTTTTTTATATTGCCCTTTTTAACTTAATAATAAAAATTATTACACACTTATGCTTCAAATTATTGTTAATATTGCGCTACATGTACCTGTTAATCTTTTTCATTAATTTGTGTCTTTAATATATTATGCCCTTGAAGATAATGTGTTTATTCCAAAAAGGGGCAGTATTGACTGAGATATGCGTGAAATTCGATAATTAACTATTCTCTATTCTAGATTTTGAAAGTTTTAAGAAAATTTACATTACGTTTCCGCGGCGCGCGCGTATGTGTGTATATGTGTATGTGAAAATTATTGTTTAATAAATGTTAAAGTTTCTCTCTCTATTCAGACCGCGCAGTTTCGATCGTATTTGCATCTATAAGTATTCGTCTTTATATTGCATCCGTTAATGCGACACGGTGCGACTGAGATGAACCGTGCTGTAATTATCGAGCTAACCTGGATTTAGCGGGCCACACTACACTTTGCATTGTGGATCCAATGTTTCGCGTCCGAAAATTATCCAGCAATCGAAATGCTCGTCGTAGTTAATCAACCGTTGCATTGTATTTTTCGGACAAAACGAATATGCAATACGAAGAGCGTGAAAATATCGGTAGATAAAACGATGATTTTTCTATTTACTTCGAGTTTATCGAGTGGAGTTAACGTTTCCCTGTCTCTGTTCGTAATATGTGAAGTATTAATGGTAATTTTAAAAGTGCAATATCTTCTGTGTGTAATTGTATACATTTTATCGTTTGTGCATTTGTGTACTTTGTACAAGCGCGCATGGCGTATCGTGTACATTGAATATCCAATGTATACGACGATAACGGCTATGAACCCGAGCTTTAGTGTCATGTCCCAAAGCAATAAGTCAAGCTGACATATTGGAATATCCTAGATGCGATGTGTTTTCACGCAGCATGCGGGATAATGAACGATTTCAATGATTCGTGGCATGATTGACAGTCCAATTCACCAAAAGCTTAAATATATTCAGTAACGATAGTCAATAATTAATAATTAATATTTGTATAATGTTATTAATTATTCCAATTAAATATTAATGATTAATTAACGTATGGAAATTAAATTAGTTAGAGAAATGCATGATGCTGGATGGAAGACCTTTAAATACATCTAGTGATAATTTCATACTTTATAAATTTAAAACGCGTATAAAAAAATATTTATAAATCCACTCTTAAAAAAGCCGTGTAAAAGGTTTTTATTGTTGACGCTTTTCCGCGATGGTTCTCTTCCGATTGGTTCTCTTACTGCACTTATTTCGTGAGTAGGGAAGACCGGGGCTCGTTGGCACCGTTTTCACAATTTTGATATTTGAGTTTTTACAACTAATTATCATGATTAAACATTATTAATATGATTGAGAGAACCTTTTTCTACATTTTCATGCTAAAAACGCTCCTGTATACTGTATAGTTCCTTTGTAATAAGTGAAATACGAACATGCTGCATTGTAGCCAACTTGCCCCGATAGTAGGGTAAGTTGGCTATGCGACAAAAGTCCATGTTAAATTAATGAAAACGTAATAGAAACACAAAACGGGTAACAGATACGTACTTGCTTGATAAAGATTGTATCTTTTAAAGTTATTTTGTAATAATCAAATAGCAAAATGCTGTTGCAGAAAAACAATTGCAAACTATTTTAGATGTAGCTTTCTTCATCATAAAAATATTAATATAAATATATATCTAGCTTCTATCAGCATTGTAGGTAGCAAATCACATGCTCGAACAGGTCTCACGCGCGCGGCAACACAAGTCAAGCTAAGCGTGTCTTGATATGAGCCAACATACCCCATCCTTACATACGTTTTATTTCAGTCATTTTATTATAATAAATTACTGTTGTTAGTCAAAATAATATGTCGTATAGTAACAGAAACTTTTCTTTTAACTAATGATACGTCACTTTGATTTACTTCTCAAGCTGAAGAACATTAATACAATATTTTGAAACGCTCGAAAATTTACTTGCCACCTCTTAAATCAGAATTTTCTCTTTTTCTATTGTAATACTTGTCTGATTAAAATAAAGCTTTGAGAAAAGTACCTATGTCTCATATAAGAGATATTTTGTGATAACTTTTCCATTATTTTTTTCGCTATAAATACATAAACGGAACGCATTGCCAACTTGCCTCTTGTGCCAACGAACCCCGGTCTCTCTTATCTGTCATCGTATATTTTGACAGTTTTATGTTTTATTTATCAAAGGGTTAATAATATAATGCAATAGTAATAGTATAATATTAAAGCTAAATAGCGCGCGTCTGTGTAATAATCAAAATGCAAAAAAAAAAAAATTGGTAACATCACACGGTGTTCCCAAGCGGTCACCCATCCAAGTACTAACCGTGCTCAACGTTGCTTGACTTCAGTGATCGGACGAGAACTGGTACGTTACAACGTGATATGAACGTTACCCTGACGTGTAAGTTATTTATAATCAGTTTTATGTTATGATTCTGTCCCAAAATTTCACTTTTTTTTATACAGCAATAAATGTCATAAGAATTGTTAAATCGTCAATGTTACAACATTAAATAACTCTCATTTTGTTAATGACATAAAGCAAAGATTTATGGATATCAATACGAGCTGCAAATATAAGCTAATGTATATTCTCTGTTTTATAAATGCTTCCATTTAACGCAGCATCGTCTTGCAAGCAACAATTAATTTGCATAAAAATATAACGGATGAGCGGTAAACAACGAATCAGAAGCGCGGCACGCCAGAATGAATCGGCACAATGAACTGGCTTCTCGCTCGTCTGCATCTGAGCAGCTATTAGATAGTATTGTTAATTCATCGTGCGGCTGACATTTCATTTACGAGGGTACAATACCTTGGTGAGGCCAGGTGTATATAGGGATGGTATTATTGCGTACGCGCTTCAGTGCCGGGGAAAAAAAAATTATTACGCACGGGTATTCTCGGGTGCTTGTCGACGCCTTTTTCGTTCGCGCAACAAGAAGAACTGGAATCTTGTTCGCGAATTTCCTTATCAACATTCTAATTTTTTTAAATTTGCTATATATTAAATTTTTAAATTTGCTAAATATTAATTAAAAGCTGATATTAACAATTAACAATCGGTTCATGTTATCGATAACAATTAACTAATTGCAGCGCACGTACATAAAATATATGGTGTTACGTCGGCGTTTCTTTTTAGCCTTCACAAAACGATTAAAAGAATTTTATTCGCGAGAAAAAACTTTGGCAGATCGTGCTATGTGATACGATCGTGAATGATAGGTAAATATTAAATCAAAGAGCGCAAAGTAAAACGAGAGAACGATAAGTAATTGAGCAATCTTCCAAGCAATTAAAACTGATGATGTTGTAATTAACTTATAAATACGTTGCCGGCGGCAGTTAGTTTATTATGGAGTTTGATCTACTTAATATTTCATCATACGATTTATTCCCTTCTTAGACAATTTGCAATAATGCGTGTTTGCAGCAGAAATGACGTGATTTTAATTAAACTGAAATCAACAAAATTACAAAATTTGTTTATAAAATTATATTATAAATATTAAATCTTGTCACGCTTTGAAACTTTTGTAGAAGAATTTTAAACGAGTTTGTTATATAAGTTAGCTTCTTACACACAAATTATACTTTAAGTGAAAAATTGTATTTGAAGAATTATAGATATATGGAGACACATATTCGTATTTGTTCCGAGGCTATAAGCATTTTAGTTTTGAGAAACTCGTGGCTGTCTCCACGGGATGCTTCGTATAAGATTTTCAATCGTAACCCTCCCGACTTTCGTGCGACGACGACAGTGCGCTCTGGGACAATGGGGAAGATTGTAAAGAGAGTGACGGAAGTTGGAAGGGGTCAAAAAAGAGTGTCAGCACTTTTCGGAAGTCATAAAACTTGGAGGTGTGTGACGCGTACTACGAGAGTTCGGATTCGACTTACCTAGATCCGTGCAGCGACAACGCGGCAGGGACAATAGGACGAAGATGGCGATCAGAAGTCCTCGAAGTGGAGTTGGATCGGCGCTGGGACCAAGGACTGGCATGTTACTGGTGACCTGGGCCGTCGGCACGCCGATAACTTGCTCCTCCTCATCACTAACTATCCGCTGTCCTGACCGCATCGGTCATCAAGCACGTTCCTAGCATCGTGATGGTCGCAAGGTGGTCACAGGCCCGTGTCGATGTCCTGAGCACAGAATAATCCGTGTTAGTTGTCCGCAGACACCTCGGAAATGTCTCGTGGATTGAGTATGAGAACTGTTATAGTAATACAAGCGGTGATATTTACAGACTTTGGACAAAAATAAGCATTAACGGTCGTCTGGCGCGCGCGTACGTTCTTTTAAATGTAATCATAGCGCCCGATTGTCTTCCGTCTCATTGATAAATTTATCTCGCGGTTCGTGCAACGAACTCTCCATGAAAATAGTGTCGATTGCTATCGCGAAAATGTATTGTAGCTAGGACGCTACAATGGAAACTACTGCCAAGGTAAATTTACCGGCATGAAATAAAAGAAAGTAACTTTTATCGTTAAAAAGTGAAAAAGTTGTACTGCTATATGTATCTCTAGAAAGATTTTTCAAGTTAATAATTACATATATATTACTTTAATTGAAAAGAAATTTGATTAAAAAATATGTAACATTACAAAATAAGGTACATATATATTTTTCAAGACTTAGATTTGATTAAGAATTGCACGAATTAACATGTAACTAATAAGTATAAAATAAAACGCACGGTTTATATTCCTGTCAACAAAATCCGAATCGGTTTTCCGATGTAAGGCTGATTGCCACTGGCACAACGGAACGAGCATATTTACGTAAATATCATCGCTAGACCTTGCATTTGTCGTATAAAGCGGAACTCTTATCGTGCTGTTACGGCAGCGTAGACATTTGTTATCATTTTTGCAAATAGCGCTCTCCACCCGCCCTCTCGTCCGTCTTCATTTTACGTCGCGCGCAATCTGCACGATAAGAGGTCTATTTTGCACGACAAATCGGCTCCCTAAATATTGCGCCCGTGAAATAAAATCGCTTACAATCGTCCAACTGGCACTTGTTAGTTAAAAAGCGGCCGTTATATCCAAGATTAATTGCGTTACCGTGAGCAGGCCGCGATATCAACGGCTAATCCGTGTCACCCCCTCGTACGCGGATTATGCGCCAGCTATACGGGTCGTCGACGAATAGTGGAAACATTACCCATGCCGCGGGTCATGAAATTTTAATTGCGCCGGTGCTATTAGTAAACGCGATCGTTTTCAGGAAAGAGGTTGAGAGCGTCTATGCCGTGCTGCTCTGCCGCTGCTGCTGCTGCTGCTGCTGCTGCTGTTGCTGTTGCAATTGTATCGCGCTCATATATGTACCGCGCACAGGGGATATGGTATAAGTACGCGTGTTCCATATGCTGTGCAATTGCAACTGCAACACCGCACAGATTTCGCGTCACGCCTCATGCATTATTCACACCTCGCCGGAGGTGAAATTATTTTTCCCCCTCAGCGTTAGTATTATTAATTTTAGGCGTTAGTCCAACGTGAAACTCTAAACCGCGGGAAATCCGCCCGGTGCATGTGAGTGTATTCGCGCAGTCGAGCGTGACAAAAACATTCGCGTTTCTCGTTCGAGGCGTCATCGTTCCTTCGAAACCACGCAACAGCGTTATGTGCTCCATTGTCGACTTTCTTGACAACTCCGTGAATTAACGATCTGCATTTTAAGCCAATTTCTTTACTGATTCTTAACTTACCAAAACATTTTGAATACTGTGTCATTAGACATCCCCCCATCGATCTTTCAAAAGAAAACTATTTTATTTGCTGAGCTGTAATTATAATTACGCCGCGTACTTTTGTTGTTCACCTTTTCATAAGCTCCAATTATATTCTCTAAATCCCTGCGTGTTTCCTTAGAAATTACATTTATTGCATTGCAGTAGACAAAAAGGAATATAAATAATAGTAATATATATATATATATATATATATATATTACAATTACGTAAAAAAAACAATGTAAAACAGAATCTAAGTCCCAAGATATAATTAAGAAACGTTTTTTTTTTAATATTTTGATTGTTTAACACAGATCAGGGTGTTTCGTTGTATTGTTTTTTAAAATGCAAAATGTATATTATGATTTGACATAGCATTTAAATATATGTAACAACAAGCTATAACATAATTGTATTATGCTGCTATTAAGCAATTTTTGTTTTGGAGAAATATCTGTTGTCATAAAATCGAGTTGTAAATATAATATACTGGCATATTCCGACCATAAGGACTCTATATGCTTTTCGTGCCACGTTCAAGATATAGGCGCAGAATACGAACGAGGCCCTAAAGCCGTCAGAAACAAGTGTTGCGCTCAGTATTGAAGTTGTAAGATACGGCAATACGTATGCACCAAAACCTATAATGGAACTCCAGATAGGTTGCTTTGAATACTCGATGGAGCTCAAGAAAGCTACATATATGTTGTACCTTTCAGCGAAACCAAGCAAAACTCAACGAGTACGCGTATTACGTGAAACGAGTAAAGTCATTGACTTGAAGTCACACGAGTAAGCAAGATAATGGAAACGTGCTTTACAACGGGCCCAATGTTGAAAAACGAGTAGCCTCTCGGCACGTGGGGTCATTAATACTCCCCGCGTACAATGCCTTTTTTTTAAATAAAGTACACGGTCATTGAGCTCTTGTCGAGGCACCCACCGCCGAAGGGGCACGCCTCGTCTCTCTAATTATTTATAATTATCGATCGCTAACGAGCAGTGTCCAGGAGAGATCGCATTACGTTCGCCCCGAAGCCCCGGCAACGTCTGCTCCGCTCTTTCGCTCGTGGAGGCTATTATGGCATGGGTGCGTGATTTTATAAAATTCGTCTAAGAGAAATAGAGAGGCGCATTTGCGGTCAGCCGTGCCTGTGTGACATAAGTAAGATGGAAAATTCCCGACGTATTACGACATGAATATTACGATGAGATTAAGATTTATTCACGGAGGAAAATTATATCCGATATTAAAGTTTTATCTCGGATTATACCTGATAATGTACGCGACATGATATAGCGATACCACGACAATAATTTACATTTCAAGTATATCTTCTTAATATGATGCGGACTGAACTGAAGATGGAATGAATATCTCTCTTTAAACATCTTTATTCCAAGTTTCAACTTCTTGAAACCAGTATGCCAAATCGCAATGCAAAAATAAATTTTATTTTCTAATTAAATTATCATAAATACTGAAAAGTTCTTCAATTATTTATGTCTACAAAATATTATGTGTATTAAATTGTGGTACGGCTAAGCGGAGCATTAATGTGAACATTTTGGCCGCATATTGTTTTACGTAAGAAGATTAGCGATCTGCTAAAAAATGTGCGAAATCGATTGATAAGTACCAAAGGTAGCTACTCGGTCGAAACAATAGCTCGGTTACTCTTCCCATTACACGGGCGTATAATAAACGTTTTCACGTGCAGCAGTTAAAGCCCTAAAAATTCCTGCTTCATAGGTCACTACCTTGCAGGTCCCTTTTCTTGTAACGGGGCGAGCCGCAGTGGCTGAAGGAAGGAGCGAGCGAGAGAGATTGAGCGAGGGTTGGGGATCTGTGCGAAGTGCAGGAGGGGAGAGCCACTCCGGGTCTTTTGTGTGCATTCGATAGCCCGTGCAAAACAAACAAGCCTACGAGATACAAAACAGGATCCACGATGCAGAAGCGAGTCCCGCTTGTCCAATGGACGTTCCTTCCTTTTCTTCACGGAATACCGAGCACCGTCATTACCCTGTATATATACGAATAGCTCCACGCTCCTCCTTCGCCGTGAGTGAAAGAGGGAAGCCACGGTGGGGAAACACGGAAGTACGGGAGGACGGGGTAAACGGTAGGATTTTGCGATGCAAATTTCATTCCGCTCTCTTCCCTCCGGCTCCGCTCCTGCCCCGACCTTCCTAGTCAGCCCTTTCCACCTATTCTCCGTTCTTTTATTTCCCCACTTCTAGTTTTCTTTATCTACGACCGCCTGTGTGCCCCCCCTTTTTTTAAAATCATCCCACGGGAGTCCTCTCTCTCGTGTCGTCGAGCACCCCGACAGAATTATCGCGATCGCCTCGCTCGGGCGGACACGCTTTTTCGCGGTTCGTCGCGATTTTCACCGAGGGAAAAGCTCGGCAAGCCGACGTCGGCGAGGATGACCTAGAGGAGACTTGTCGCGGATACGGCGGTCGGAGCCGGGGAAAGCTGACGGCGCTGAAAGAAACGGAGGTGGAGAAGCGCCAGCGGAATTAATTAATTCTGAGGGGCTGCTCACCCACCCGTCCTTTTGAACGACAACGTGTCATCACGTCCGTCTTCGTCGAAAGAAGCTTTTCCTGTCTCTGAGACGGAGGAGAATCACCCCATGCGTTGATTTCAACTTTCAACCGAACAATCGTCAATTAAAAAAATATATAATTATAAATGTCGGGCGAGACAACATCTTTTTTAAAACTGAAGCTAAACTGAAGGAAACGAATAAAACAGTCTCGTCTGGAGATTAGAAGTAAAGTTTCCAACTCATCACGATTACTGCGGATTCATATCAATCCCGCAATGTACGTTTCGTGAGAAGATTAGTTGACTGAAATATCGATGTATTATATCTCCGCAAGACAGCAACATTTCCCTATGACTTTTACTCGCGTAGTTTGAAACTAATTAGAAAACGTCCACAACATCCTTTTATCTGTCAGTATCTTTTTATATCAGTATTAACCGTTATCTCTTCTTTTCAATTTTCAAGTTTGCAGACTTTCATAAAAACAGGGACTCTAAGAGAATAAAAAAGTTAATTATCTTCCGTAAACTCGTAATAAATATAAAAGATGTTTAAGAAATGAAATTATTTTATTAATGTGGCGTAAACATCGTGTATCCACGCTTTGAGAAGATTTATTTACGTTTTTTCCACAAACGCCACGTTACTCATTCTAAGTTTATTTATCATAACAAGTAGCAACACGAATTAATGTAATCCTCGTTAACGACCGCAGAAACGACGCCAGACATTAAACTCATTGCTCTTAGGGGTCGCAGCTAATCCAGTATGGATTAGGTGCGAGAGAAAAAAAGAGCGGATAAGGAACACCGGACGCGCTTTTCTCAAGAGAGAAGAAAGCGTACGC